AAATACGCTTTTTTTGTCTTATGGCAAGTTTAAAATAAAATACACTTACCCCATTTTGGATAAATTCCTTATGCTTCTTCCAGACATTCAGAAAATCACCTCTCTCTTTGTGGTGGCATTTCAGATGGGACCTCACCCCACCAAGGGACCTGAAATGAATTTGGCTCACAATTTGGTACATATATGATGTAGTGAGACAGTTACCGTAAACACTCTAATGGAACGCCACCCATCCAGTTTGAGCCTAAATATTTCACTTCTTTTGAAAGATATCAAAAAGTTGTCAAATGATAAAATGTTTATCATAATATTAGTAGCATTTTATCAGTTAACAACATTTTCACATCTTTCACAGGAGCTGAGATAAATTTTATTGAAGTTGATCCCACATTGGCTCTGATAGAAGCTCATCCTATGCGTGCACTTTGATATCAATTATCTCGGTTCCCATGAAAGATATAAAAAATTTGGTAACTGATAAACTATTGATGGCATTATGATGAACAATTTTCTAGTTAAAACTTTTTTATATCTCTCATAGGAATCGAGATAAGTGAACCCAAAGTTAGTGGGTTCTTTTATCGCAGGTTTTACGGTTAAGGCCCCAGAAAATTAAAATAAACTCACTTGAAGCATTTGTCGCATTCGGGACATTTCTGGTCTCTCGTGGATGCATGACTCAACTGATGAAGACAAAGGCTCGACTCGGAATGAAACTTTTTGAGACATACATTACATTCGTGAGTCCATTTACCGACATGAATCGACTTTTGGTGCCTTCTCAGTTCTAAAAATTCCAGATATTTTTTTAGAAGAACAAAAAATTCAGGCACCACACTTTCCGCTTAATTATCTCAATTTCTGGGAAATATATCAAAAATGGACAAGCTATTAAAATGTTTATCATAATACAAGGAATTTCGCAAAGTCATATGTTCTAACATCTCAACTCTTCAACTATCAGATTTTATTGATTGGAAAAGGGAACTCACTTTTTGAAATCAAAAAATTTCAGAAAAATAAGAGAATAAATAAATAAAAAAGTAATGCCAGAAAAATAAGGGAACTTCCTAGAATCCATTCAGAAGGATTATCTAGAAAGTTCCCGAGAATATTGAGACGTTCATTCTGTTAGGACGTCGAAACAAGAACTGAGCTATGTGTTTATGATGGTGTGTATAAGGGGGAGGGGGGGGGGCTAGAGGTCAAATCGATTTTCTGCGTCTCTCACATTCTTGTGCTAACTCATCGACGTTCCTCTGTGTCTGCACGCACACACACACGGAAATATTGAGGTGGTTATATACAGGGTGGATACTAATTATTCATACACATTCAAGACATCATAACTCGTTTGAAAGACATTGAAAATTGTTGAAATTTTAACAGTAAATCGTTAAAACGATAGAGAAACAAAAATTGAATTTAGTTTTCAAATCTTCCACCATCGGCTCAGATGACAGCTCGATTCCTTCCAGAGAAGAGTCGATCCCGGCACGCAGGCGTTTTGGCAGAAGAGCGTCCCATAATTTTTCGTGGGCAACCATTAAAGCATCCAAACTTGATTAGTTTTCCGTAAAGACTTTCTGGCTAGGATATCCCTAAATGACATTATAAAATTAGTTCAAATATGGCGACGGAGCCTGCTTTTCTGCAACCTCTATCAACCCTAGTATATTGCTCTTGAATCACTGATGAGCGTCTGCGGCAGGACCCTTGGCTTAGATTCGAAAATTTTTATTTTTTACAAAAGGTTTAAAAGTCAGTAGCAATAATACGGCCCTTTTTACCGTTTTCGTCAGCCTCAACAGCAAATTTTTCCTCATCAAAAAGTGCAAAAATGGCTTGAAAATGGCTAGCGTGCCGCCGAGGAGGTGTTGTGATTTTTTCTTCAGGAGCAGCTGGTTTTTCTTCGTCAGTAACTCCGTTTTCCATATTTGATGAGTATACAAGTACAGCTTCTGATTGAGAATAGTTTCCATCATCTTTCTGGTGCTCTTTTCCGGATTTTGGCGACGCTCTCTCGGCCAGCTTTAACGACAGCCGAAGTGGTCACGGTGAATGGACGACCAGATTTTGAAAATTCATCTTGAAGCCGCAGCTCTGGTAACGTAAAACAGTTTTTTGAACCAAGATTCTCGGCACCTTGAGATTTTTGACGGCGTCTGAGCTGGACATTCCTTTTTCAACACTTTAATTTTCGCTGCATGGTACGGTAAAGCTCGCGCCATTTCTTTCAAAATGGAGAAAAAGACACGAAATTTTGCAAATATGTAAACGAAGATGTGGTTAACAAATTTGTAAACAATTGCAGTGAGTTGCGCTCCTGTGCGGGCGTTTAATGAGGTGTCTTAAGACTCCAAAGACACAAATTTTGGTCATAGTTCTACTGTTATTTAAGCTGTTTAAGCCCTGATTTGCATCGTCTTCCGGGGTTCCAGTCTTGAAATTTGAAAATCTCAAATGAAAATCATAAGTGTATTTTGACACACACACAAACACAATAAAGATCGAGTGTGGTTAGAAAATTTCATGATTTGAAACACAATTATCCAAAGTTATTTATTATTGAGTGAACAAAACGATGGAGGCCAAGTGCTTGTTGCTGTGGGCAAAACGAAAATGCGTTGAAGTGAAAGACGATTTTGATGGGATCCATGCTTCTTTTCGTCCAGAATAGCCATGGCAAACGATCAAATCTAAAACGAAACTGATGACGGAGAGTATCAATAGGTCTTTTATAAGAACTAACCGCAAAGTAGTGATTCTTCAATATCAAATCAAGTCCGTCCGATGTGTATCAACTGACAGCTATTTGATTAGCCAAGTCTGGTTGAGATCCAACTTTTGCAGATGTTTCCAAGCACCAAGTCTAAGAAAAGCACCTTGGGAGACTGACATGTGAGTGAAAGTCGTCATCTCATCGGCTGACACGATTTTTGCGCTCACTGTCAAATTACTCGGTTCAATTGCAGGTTGCAATCTTTTCAAAACTACATGCGTTTTTTACTTTTACGCGCTTCAATTTTTACTACCTAGCTAGGTAGGGCTCTCCGCTAACTCGGCGGAAAATTCTTGACCAGAAAAACTTTTATTTTTTGAATTTTGTGACAATAATTACTCACCGAAAAGTGTACTCTTCCCTCCAAATATCGATTTTTCATTTTGTTCGTTCCGCTTTGTTTCTGGAAGATTAAGAAGATATTCCTAAAAAAAGGTCGTAAAAACCTGGAATCGAATTTTTGTTTTAAATATATTCGAGCAAATGAAATCAATTGATGGTTTTTTGGGGGTTTACAAAAACACTTTTTTCAACCGTTTATTTAAATAAAAATTATTTAAAAAAATTATAAATTATTGAATTCCTTCTCAACTGCTCCAAATGCTCCTCGAAGACAGCCTTCTCATGCTCGAGCCACTTCTGACGATCGGCGAAAGAGACGCTGCTCCATGCAGATTCTGAATAGGTTCCGTTAGTCTTTCTGTCGCCTTAGGACCAAAAATGATTTACCGAGCTCACTCGAAGTCTTAACTTCCGTCACAACTCAGAGGTAGTTGTGGAAGAGGTGCTTGGCCATCTTTGTCTTGGATCCAACCTCCTGTGGTATCGCCTTGAACCTCTTATCGGGGTTGTAGAGGTTCAGCACGGTGAGCTGGCCTGAAGTGACAATAAAAATTAGTAGATTATTTTTTCATGAATTGCGCTTACCGAGCTCAGGATCTTTGAAAACCGGGCACTCTGAGTGATGGTCCCTGGCTTCTTGAAGAAGCGCCTGGTATTCCTCGGTTCCTTCCTCTAGCGGCTCCTTTTGTTGGATCGCTTTCCTCGCGGCCCGGCGCATAACTTGCTTTGTCTCCGGCGCTCCATTTTCTGAGCTGCAAAATGAGATTGCTGGTGTCGCTTCAAATAGAATTTCGATCATACCTCGATTGGAGCCATCCACCGGAAAGACGACGGAGGCAGCGATCATGGCTCGATCGAAGAGCCGTTGGATGGAGCATCGACTGGAGCATCGACCACATTCGCAGCTGCTGGAGCTGAATCCTTTTTCGATGGACGACCAATTTCTAGTATTAAAATTGAAAAATACTCTCATCGTTCATTTTCAGATAATTTCAAATTTTTATGGTAACTCGAAATGTTAAACAAACATGAATATTTTGAAAATTTAACATTTTGGAATAATTTCAATGTTTTGAAAACGCGTTTGAATAAAAAAGAACTCACCTTTTACAGTAAAATTTTCAGAAAAATATGAGAATAAATAGATAAAGAAGTAACTTCAGAAAAAATAAGGGAACTTTTTAGAATCCATTCAGAAGGATTCTCTAGAAAGTTCCCGTGAATTTAGACGTCCATTCTGTCAGGTCGTCGAAACAAGAACTGAGCTATGTGTTTATGGTGGTGTGTATAAGGGGGGGGGGTGGAGCTAGAGGTCAAATCAATTTTCTGCGTATCTCACATTCTTGTGCTCCCTCATCGACGTTCATCAGTGGTTGGTAATTTGTATACGGATTTGTATACGGACACGCAATGACCCCAAATTAGCGGGTGTCCTCGAAGGAGAGACTCAGAGAAATGGAAGACAGTTTAAAGTTTTGATCATAACTTTGTTCATTTCCAGACTTGGAAAGTAATCGATTTATTTTCGAATTTTGGAAGATGAGAGCTTCAAAATAAGTCTAAACATGCTAAGATTCGGTGAAAAATTGAAATTGACTTCGAAAGCGGCTAAAAGATTTTAAAGAAATAACTTCCGGTCATAAATATACATTTACTGAAGCTATTTAGGTCCTCTTTCGCACTGTTTTTGGAGTAACACTCTGTGAAATGCCTTTTCACTGAGGCTGGTTTCTGAAAGTTTCTTGAATTCAACAAATGTTCTTGAATTCCAATGCACAAATTTTTGAAAATCTTTTTTTTGCTGTTTTCTCTGGGCATCTCCCCTCGTGGTCTCTCTCATCGTTTCCCCTTCAGTTCTTGCTTGGGAGTGCGTTCACACTGGTGACGCCTCCATTTGTTTTAACTCACCTTTAATAGGTTGATTTATTGTTGATTCAATAAATAGTGTTTTATAGGAATTCTGTGTTTTAGTGTCTTCTAGTTTTTCAGGTTACAAAGGTCTCTTTGAGTGCATAGAGGTTCTGTGAGTGCATAGCGTTTGTCTGTGTCTCTCACTCTCTCTGCATCTCGTTGTTTTCAATAGTGTCTTTTAGCAGTTAGTGTTTCTGGAGGTCTTTCAGTTACATTACTAAACTCATATTTCGATTCCCATTGGATCCGGGGAAAAGTTATTGTTGAAACCGTTTTCAGTTTTTTCGAAAGTACTTTTCTACAAATTTTGAGCAAATTCTCAACCCCCGTCTGAAAACACACACAGTTTAAAGATGAAATGTGGAGGGTTTCGAGAATTTGGAGGGCTTCGAAATAGACAAACCTCATTCCACCGAAGATGTAGAGAACTTCAATGTAAAATGATAGTTTTATAACAATTGCTAACATGAATAGTTTTTTTTTCAATTCAAGTACATGCTAATAGAACGTGACAAGAGGCACTTAGATTTTTACCGTTTTTTATCTTCTTCGATGATTAAGTGTGATAGTTACAAAATTTTGGATCTCCTAAACTCTCATGTACAAAATTCAAACCAAATGAGTTGTCTTCATGTGCTTATCCGTCCCTTCACCCGGGCTGGACCTCCTTATGCAGACTCAATAAGTAACCCCTAGTGTTCTCAATTTATTTGATGTTTTTTTCAGCACTTCAATTGCACAAAGCCAATGAAAAAAAGAGAAAACCTGGATGGTTATATGATTCATCAAGTGGACATAGATTCGGGTGATATTTGATTTTTATATCAATTTTGATTATTCCGCCCATTTTTCAATCTGCCGTCCGTGCATTTACCTCCCAGTCACAAATATCTCACCAAAACGGAATTCATTGCACGTGCTCAGAAAAGTAAGATAATGTCTTACCTTTTTCCACACAAATCAAGCAGAAATCTGTGAGTTTCAAATGAAGCGTCGGTCAAAAACACTAACAAATCACCATTTTCAGAGCAAAGAATGCAGTTGTCGACAAAGAACCAGCGAATCAGGATAAAACCGGTGGCTTGATGTTCGACTGATCCAAATTACAGTATTTGCACTACAAATCACAAATTGATGACAAGAACAGCAAATTGCGACAGATTGAATGATTCAGAAAGCTCGAAACGGACCAACGAACCGTTGATAACCATCTGAAGGGATGAACACCACCTTCATGCATTAGTTGTGGCTGCAAGATGTACCTTTGGCTGGACTTCTGAGTCAAATGTCTACCTCGAACTCCAGCAAGCAGTGTAAGAGCAGAAAAAGGCGTCGGCAAGATGAAAGAAGTTATCGGAGCATGCTAAAGGTGAGAAGGAAGAATACATTGAGAAAAAGACAATCGAAAAAAATTCAGGCGCACTCCAGGAAATCCGGTTTATTGTTATCAACGAATTCCAAAAGGTCCGTTGGCGCAAGGATAGGGAGAAAGAAAAGACAGTTGAGTCGTTTTTCGATTTTGAGAATTGCTGAAGAAAATTGCAATGAAATCAAGAGGCGGAAGCTCACGACATATTCGAAAAGCTTAAACGGAGGCAGAAGCAGCCGATGTAGGAGTTCTAAATGGATGTGGGAAAGATATTGAAGAGAGCGTTTCCAGACTTGAACGACGATCGAGCAGGACGGAATTTGAATTTTAACGCTATTGAGGTCGGATGGAGTGGATTCTCCTTAATACTATTCAAACCGGTAAGCAATTACATTGAAATTAAGGAACACATTGACCAAACAGGTATTTATTCTAGATTTCGACCATCAATATCGTCCGGAGCAGCAATTCGAGTACAAGAAGCTCGTCATCCGATATTATCAAGGCATTTGATGTTCAACAAGACTTCAAAAACGTAGGAGTTTTCAACAATAGCTGAGAAAAGGATAGTGAAATGCGAACAGAAAGGCAAAGAAGAAGATGCTCATACGAGAAGGGAAGGATCGGAAGCCAATAGCAATGTGAGCAGAACTGAGATTGGAGATCAGAACAAACCTTTGATAAAGTGGTATAAGTGTCCACGAATTGGTCATAAAGCTAGAGATAGTGATGCCAAAACGATACACTCCGTTGCAACCGATAGCGCAGCATGGGATTTGAGTTCTACCACAAGAGAGGTCGGGTAGAGTTGATTCTCCTCAATAGCTCTTCAGAATGGTAAGTTGTGACAAATCAGAGAACGCATTGACCAAACATGCGCTATTTTCAGATACTGATTTTGGTTTTCAGGAGAGCACTATTGGTTCAAAGAGAAAAAAACGAGCGGAAGAAGCCGAAGAGCAAAGAAGATGGTTCAAAGCTCCACGGACGAATAAATTAGGTAGGCGGAAAGAATAGAAACGTCAGAATATTGTTTTTGGTTTCAGAAATTCTCTCGTCCTTCAATTTCCATCAACATTTTTGGCAAAACTTCCCAATCAATTGTCTCGAATCATCAATTCTCCAGTCCCAGACTAAATTCTCTATGGCCGCCATATCTTAGGCTTCATTTGTGTTTCAAACACTGTTTCGCTTTGTCCAATTATTCGATTTTTCCCCCATTTACCACTTTACATTTGTTTGTATCATTTTAAATTCAATTCCTTTCCCCAGAATCTTTTTTCTTATTTTATCCATATCTCTTCCAATTTAATCACTTCCCCCGCGAAATTTCTCAACTTTCTGAAGCGAGTTGAAACATCCAGTTAATTTAATTTTGCCCGCGTTTTTCCTTTTCTCCATGTCTCCACAATTTTGATTTCTTTTGAAAGAATGTGCAAATCATGATCTAAAAAGCTTTATAAAAGTATAATGATAACCAAAATGTGTGTCTTTGGAATCTTTTAGACGTCTTTGAAGTCATTTCCAATTTTCACCAAAACTAAGCATGTTTAGTTTTTATTTGAAGCTCCCCTTTCGATGAATTCAAAAATGAAACAAGTATTTTCCAAAATTGAAAATGAACAGAGTTATGGTCAAAGCTTTACACTGTCTTCCGATTCTCTGAGTCTCTCCTTCGAGGACACCTGCTAATTTGGGGTCGTCGTATATAACCACCTCAATATATAACCGTGTGTGTGTGCGCGTGCAGACACAAAGGAACGTCGATGAGGGAGCACAAGAATGTGAGAGACGCAGAAAATCGATTTGACCTCTAGCTCCCGCCCCCCCCCCCCTCCCCTTATACAGACCATCATAAAAACATAGCTCAGTTCTTGTTTTGACGACCTGACAGAATGGACGTCTAAATTCACGGGAACTTTCTAGAGAATCCTTCTGAATGGATTCTAAAAAGTTCCCTTATTTTTTCTGAAGTTACTTCTTTATCTATTTATTCTCATATTTTTCTGAAAATTTTACTGTAAAAGGTGAGTTCTTTTTTATTCAAACGCGTTTTCAAAACATTGAAATTATTCCAAAATGTTAAATTTTCAAAATATTCATGTTTGTTTAACATTTCGAGTTACCATAAAAATTCGAAGTGATCTGAAAATGGACGACGAGAGTATTTTTCAATATTAAACCTAGAATTTTTTTGCAGTATACCAGCCAAGGTCAAGAGTCCCCAAAAGATACTCTCGCCGAGGTCGTCCATCGAAAAAGGATTCAGCTCCAGCAGCTGCGAATGTGGTCGATGCTCCAGTCGATGCTCCATCCAACGGCTCTTCGATCGAGCCATGATCGCTGCCTCCGTCGTCTTTCCGGTGGATGGCTCCAATCGAGGTATGATCGAAATTCTATTTGAAGCGACACCAGCAATCTCATTTTGCAGCTCAGAAAATGGAGCGCCGGAGACAAAGCGAGGAAAGCGATCCAACAAAAGGAGCCGCTCGAGGAAGGAACCGAGGAATACCAGGCGCTTCTTCAAGAAGCCAGGGACCATCACTCAGAGTGCCCGGTTTTCAAAGATCCTGAGCTCGGTAAGCGCAATTCATGAAAAAATAATCTACTAATTTTTATTGTCATTTCAGGCCAGCTCACCGTGCTGAACCTCTACAACCCCGATAAGAGGTTCAAGGCGATACCACAGGAGGTTGGATCCAAGACAAAGATGGCCAAGCACCTCTTCCACAACTACCTCTGAATTGTGACGGAAGTTAAGACTTCGAGTGAGCTCGGTAAATCATTTTTGGTCCTAAGGCGACAGAAAGACTAACGGAACCTATTCAGAATCTGCATGGAGCAGCGTCTCTTTCGCCGATCGTCAGAAGTGGCTCGAGCATGAGAAGGCTGTCTTCGAGGAGCATTTGGAGCAGTTGAGAAGGAATTCAATAATTTATAATTTTTTTAAATAATTTTTATTTAAATAAACGGTTGAAAAAAGTGTTTTTGTAAACCCCCAAAAAACCATCAATTGATTTCATTTGCTCGAATATATTTAAAACAAAAATTCGATTCCAGGTTTTTACGACCTTTTTTTAGGAATATCTTCTTAATCTTCCAGAAACAAAGCGGAACGAACAAAATGAAAAATCGATATTTGGAGGGAAGAGTACACTTTTCGGTGAGTAATTATTGTCACAAAATTCAAAAAATAAAAGTTTTTCTGGTCAAGAATTTTCCGCCGAGTTAGCGGAGAGCCCTATCTAGCTAGGTAGTAAAAAATTGAAGCGCGTAAAAATAAAAAACGCTTGTAATTTTGAAAAGATTTCAAGCTGCCATTGAACCAAGTAATTTGACGGTGAGCGCGAGAGATATTAGGTCTAAAGAGCTTAGTAATCATTTGAAATCGCTGCTGGAAAACTTGATGCAAGAAAAAAGAAATCTCGAAAATATACTGTCCCTAAGTGCGAATGTAGAGTTGGTGAGTAAGAAGTTTCAGTTTCAGGAGCTTAAATGGAGACAGAAGCAGCCGATGTGGTAATTCTTATTATATGTGAAGAAAATGTCGAAGTGAGCGTTCCCACATTCAGACGAGAATATAACTAGAACGGGATTGAAGTTTAATCACAATGTAGGTCGGGTAAAGTCGGATCTCTTCAATAATTATTCAGAATGGTAAGTTGTGACAAAGAGAATAACTCGTGGATCAAACATACACTATTTTCAGATATGGTCTATCGAAGTCATCCGGAGAAGCATATCAGAGTACAAAAATCGTGTCAGCCGATGAGATGACGACTTTCACTCACATGTCAGTCTCCCAAGGTGCTTTTCTTAGACTTGGTGCTTGGAAACATCTGCAAAAGTTGGATCTCAACCAGACTTGGCTAATCAAATAGCTGTCAGTTGATACACATCGGACGGACTTGATTTGATATTGAAGAATCACTACTTTGCGGTTAGTTCTTATAAAAGACCTATTGATACTCTCCGTCATCAGTTTCGTTTTAGATTTGATCGTTTGCCATGGCTATTCTGGACGAAAAGAAGCATGGATCCCATCAAAATCGTCTTTCACTTCAACGCATTTTCGTTTTGCCCACAGCAACAAGCACTTGGCCTCCATCGTTTTGTTCACTCAATAATAAATAACTTTGGATAATTGTGTTTCAAATCATGAAATTTTCTAACCACACTCGATCTTTATTGTGTTTGTGTGTGTGTCAAAATACACTTATGATTTTCATTTGAGATTTTCAAATTTCAAGACTGGAACCCCGGAAGACGATGCAAATCAGGGCTTAAACAGCTTAAATAACAGTAGAACTATGACCAAAATTTGTGTCTTTGGAGTCTTAAGACACCTCATTAAACGCCCGCACAGGAGCGCAACTCACTGCAATTGTTTACAAATTTGTTAACCACATCTTCGTTTACATATTTGCAAAATTTCGTGTCTTTTTCTCCAGTTTGAAAGAGATGGCGCGAGCTTTACCGTACCATGCAGCGAAAATTAAAGTGTTGAAAAAGGAATGTCCAGCTCAGACGCCGTCAAAAATCTCAAAGGGTCCTGCCGCAGACGCTCATCAGTGATTCAAAGGCAATATTCTAGGGTTGATAGAGGTTGCAGAAAAGCAGGCTCCGTCGCCATATTTGAACTAATTTTATAATGTCATTTAGGGATATCCTAGCCAGAAAGTCTTTACGGAAAACTAATCAAGTTTGGATGCTTTAATGGTTGCCCACGAAAAATTATGGGACGCTCTTCTGCCAAAACGCCTGCGTGCCGGGATCGACTCTTCTCTGGAAGGAATCGAGCTGTCATCTGAGCCGATGGTGGAAGATTTGAAAACTAAATTCAATTTTTGTTTCTCTATCGTTTTAACGATTTACTGTTAAAATTTCAACAATTTTCAATGTCTTTCAAACGAGTTATGATGTCTTGAATGTGTATGAATAATTAGTATCCACCCTGTATATAACCACCTCAATATTTCCGTGTGTGTGTGCGTGCAGACACAGAGGAACGTCGATGAGTTAGCACAAGAATGTGAGAGACGCAGAAAATCGATTTGACCTCTAGCCCCCCCCCCTCCCCCTTATACACACCATCATAAACACATAGCTCAGTTCTTGTTTCGACGTCCTAACAGAATGAACGTCTCAATATTCTCGGGAACTTTCTAGATAATCCTTCTGAATGGATTCTAGGAAGTTCCCTTATTTTTCTGGCATTACTTTTTTATTTATTTATTCTCTTATTTTTCTGAAATTTTTTGATTTCAAAAAGTGAGTTCCCTTTTCCAATCAATAAAATCTGATAGTTGAAGAGTTGAGATGTTAGAACATATGACTTTGCGAAATTCCTTGTATTATGATAAACATTTTAATAGCTTGTCCATTTTTGATATATTTCCCAGAAATTGAGATAATTAAGCGGAAAGTGTGGTGCCTGAATTTTTTGTTCTTCTAAAAAAATATCTGGAATTTTTAGAACTGAGAAGGCACCAAAAGTCGATTCATGTCGGTAAATGGACTCACGAATGTAATGTATGTCTCAAAAAGTTTCATTCCGAGTCGAGCCTTTGTCTTCATCAGTTGAGTCATGCATCCACGAGAGACCAGAAATGTCCCGAATGCGACAAATGCTTCAAGTGAGTTTATTTTAATTTTCTGGGGCCTTAACCGTAAAACCTGCGATAAAAGAACCCACTAACTTTGGGTTCACTTATCTCGATTCCTATGAGAGATATAAAAAAGTTTTAACTAGAAAATTGTTCATCATAATGCCATCAATAGTTTATCAGTTACCAAATTTTTTATATCTTTCATGGGAACCGAGATAATTGATATCAAAGTGCACGCATAGGATGAGCTTCTATCAGAGCCAATGTGGGATCAACTTCAATAAAATTTATCTCAGCTCCTGTGAAAGATGTGAAAATGTTGTTAACTGATAAAATGCTACTAATATTATGATAAACATTTTATCATTTGACAACTTTTTGATATCTTTCAAAAGAAGTGAAATATTTAGGCTCAAACTGGATGGGTGGCGTTCCATTAGAGTGTTTACGGTAACTGTCTCACTACATCATATATGTACCAAATTGTGAGCCAAATTCATTTCAGGTCCCTTGGTGGGGTGAGGTCCCATCTGAAATGCCACCACAAAGAGAGAGGTGATTTTCTGAATGTCTGGAAGAAGCATAAGGAATTTATCCAAAATGGGGTAAGTGTATTTTATTTTAAACTTGCCATAAGACAAAAAAAGCGTATTTTCAATTATATGGGCGCAAATGCGAGTGAATTTGAAATATTTTTTTGGGATTTTTTTTTGGAATTTTTTTTGAAAAAGTTTTCGAAATGTCCAAACTTCCTTATTTTCGATCAAAACACTGTAAAAATAAACTAGCTGGTTTTATTTTGTCGAGAGCTTCAAAATGAGTATAATCATGACCTACTTTTCCTTAACTTGACTCATCTGGAGGGACCATGCGCGTCTAAACCGAACATATCAAAGTGGGCGGAGCCTAGTCGTGTTTATACTCATTTTGAAGCTCGCGACGATCTGAGAAAGAATATACAATTATTTTTCAGAAATTTCAGAAAACATGACAACGGGGAGCAAGCTACACCGATGGGACTAAATGGACTACCATCGATGCACCATGGAATGCATCCAGTGCCAATGCTCCAGCTCAAGGTGGTGGCCCAATGAGA